GATGTTAACTCAAGAAATCTTTATTAACAAATAATGTAAATTCTTGTATTTCTCTATTTGTTTTTTGTCTCTTCGCATATAAGGGACTTTTTTGGGAGGGGCGTCACACCCAGCGATGCTCAGGGGTTACTCCTGGCTCTGCACTCAGGAATTACTCCTGGCGGTGCTGGGGGAACCATATGGGATGCCAGAAATCGAATCCGGATCTGCCGCGTGCTAGGCAATCGCCCTACTGGCAGTACTATTGCTCCGGCCCCGGTAAGGGACTTTTAAGTATGTAAATTTGAGAAATGGAGAAAGAAATTTCATTAATTAAATAAGAATTGGTTGTTTACACATTGGCATTTCTGCAAACTTTAATTAGAATTCATAGGAAAATGTAAAGTAGTTCTTTTATTTTTTTTTGTGCCAGGAATTGAACCCGGGGCTTCACATATAAGTCATTTGTTCTATCATTCGACTATACCTGTAGGCATGTAAAATAAAATTATGAGCTCACAGAGCTTAATGGGAGAATGAAGTAAGCTGATAAATGAAGCTGCAAACTTCAAGAGCTTACTGCCATACTCTCCTTAGAGAGTTAAGATATGGAGAATTAAGCTTACCAGGCTATTAGGAACTATGGAGAGAGAAGCGAATATAGGAATGACCTATGTTTGAAGTAATAGAAGCTGAGTATTTCCCACAGTTAATGAGATCTTGATAGGTCATTATGAAACCAGAATAAGGTTGTAGCACTGCCCTCCCGTTGTTCATCGATTTGATTGAGGGGGAACCAGTAATGTCTCCATTGTGAGACTTGTTACTGTTTTTGGCATATCGACTATGTCATGGGTAGCTTGCCAGGCTCTGCCAGGGGGTAGAATACTCTTGTAGCTTGCTGGACTCTTGGAGAGGGGCGGAGGAATCGAACCTGGGTTGGCCGTGTACAAGGCACACACACGCCCCTACCTGCTATGCTATAGCTCCAGCCCAAATAAAGGGTGTTGGGAGGATCCTCCCAGGATGGGAGAAGCATGCTGAAAGTAGACTATAGACCAAACATTGCCACTCAATGCCTCTTTTGCAAACCACAACACCCAAAAGGAGAGAGAGAGAGAGAACAAAAGGGAATGCCCTGCCACAGAAGCAGGGTGGGATGGGGAGGGATACTGGGACCCATAAGGTAAGGTAAGGTAAGGTAAAGGCCCTCCCGTTGATCGTCGATTTGCTCGAGCGGGCCCAGTAACGTCTCCATTGGAGACTTTGTTGTTACTGTGTCTGGCATATCGAATACTCTCGGTAGCTTGCCGGGCTCTCCGAACTGGGACCCATGGTGGTGGAAAATGGGCACTGGTGGAGGGATGAGTACTTGATCGTTATATAACCGAAACCCAAGCACAAACATTTGTAAGGCTACAACTGTACCTCATGGTGTTTCACTAATAAAAATAAAAGAAAAAAGCAAACGATTATCAACAAAGTAACAATGATGATAGTACTGAAATAAGATAATGGAACAGTATCTTCCTAGTATGAAGATTTGAATGAGCGAAAGAAACCAGTCAAGTTATGAGTAAATGGAAAAAATTAAAGCGTCAGAGGGCCTAAAGATGAACAACTCTGAGGGGCAGCTCAATGGAATACGAGCTTGCTTTGCATGCTGAAGGCCTGTTTAGTTCCAGGCACTACCTGGTCCTCCAGGCATCTCGAGGTGTGGCTTCGAACGCTGCCCCCACCCCCCAAAGAGTCTTGATAAGAACAATACAAGAATCGAAGGGATGAGCTACATACATCATGGTAATAGAAAACAACTCCAAATTATCAGCAAGGTTATTATCAGTTGCACTTACAGTAAGAATGTCCTGATAAGCTTGGGTTTATTTACGCTATATTTTCTAAAATGCTAGTTAGGTATCTAGTTCATATTTGTAAGCTTATAGTTTGGGAGAATTACAAATAATACCCATTATTATTACATCATCCCATATTATTCTGTTTTCAAGAAGAGAAAACTGGAGCAAAACAAGATGTAAGTAAGTCGCCCAAGTCCTTAGATTAGTGGCACAGCTGGGATTAAATGAAATAAACCCAAAGTAAAATTTGTAGGCAGTGTAGTTAATCAGGAAGAAATATAGTTTAAGGCAGAAAGGGTTAAAAGCACAGAGGTAGCCAGGAAGATCCTCAGAGGGAGGAAGAACGTGCTTTGCATGGTGGAATGCTGATTTCAAGCTGGCCACCTACCTTATGGTTCCCCAAAATCTGAGTTGGAAATAGCCTGCAGCGCCAACCACATAGGACCCCCCCCCAAAAAAAGGGGAGAGAAGCAAGATAATACTTCATGTCAGTTAAGAAACAATTCAAGAAGTTTGAACTTGATTTTATCTGCACTGTAGCTTATGTGCTTGAAGAGAAAGAGCAAAAATTAATAGAATTATTAAGGAAAGAAGGAAAAATAGTTGTAGTCAGAAAATATTAAAGCAAGGAGGCAAAATAATGAGACTAAAATTTTAAATTACAATAGTAACAGGTTTAATTCTCATTCCTACACATTTCTTTTTACACATATAAAATGTGAATGAAGATATGTAATGCTTTGGGCTATAGAGAAATCAGGTTAAACAGACTGTATAATAGCAAAGCTTCCCACAATTACTAAGAGAAAGTCACAGAACCAGTAAGGAAAGTGTGTCAAAATTAAGAACAAGCAGTTATCTAAAGATGTACAAGAGACTAAAGACAGATTAATAATTAGAATAACTGCAAATTAAATGAGCAAAACAGCAGCATTTTTCATGTCACTGTGTTGTAAAATAATTAAAGGTAGGTGGTTCTGAGTTTTGGCAGGGCAATACTTTTGAAGTTTGGCAAGGAGTACTCATGAAGGCTAATTATGGGCTGGACTATGACTCAGCAGGACAGTCATTCCTAACGTGTGAGGCCCAGGATTTGATCTCTGGCACCACTGAGTGCAATGTGGCGCTTTAAAAAAAAAGGACGGGCCTCTACGGTAATGTAGCTGGTAGAGCACTTGCCTTGCATGCAGCTGACATGGGTTCGATTCCCAGCACCCCATAGAGTCCCTGAGCACAGAGCCAAAAGTAAGGCTTGAACATTGCTGGGTGTGGTACAAGACACCCCCCCCCCCCAAAAGAGCCCAGAGGAATGCTAATTGTGGTCTTGTAATTTAGCTATCAGTCATGCTGTGGCATGACTTGGCAATGACTTACACCTGAAAATCTATCCTTTCTCCTTGGGAATTTTGATTTAACATCTCTGGTTGAGACCTGGATGGATTTTGTACTTTTAAAAATATTGTGGAAAATTCTGACCTGAAAGTTAGTTTTAGTTTTATTATGGCAGTTCTGGGGCTGGAGCGATAGCACTGCAGGTAGGGCGTTTGCCTTGCATGCAGCCAACATGGCCAACCCGAGTTTGATTCCTCCGCCCCTCTCGGAGAGCCCGGCAAGCTACCGAGAGTATCTCGCCCACACGGTAGAGCCTGGCAAGCTACCCGTGACGTATTCGATATGCCAAACACAGTAACAACAAGTCTCCAATGGAGACGTTACTGGGTCCGCTCAAGAAAATCGCTAAACAATGGGAGGACAGTGATACAGTGATGGCAGTTCTGGTGTTTTGTATTTTTTTTGTTTGTTTGTTTCTGCAGTTCCTGGAATCAAAGTCAGGGCTTCAAACATGTCAGGCATATTTTACCAGTAAGCTACGTTCCCTGTCTCAGGGTTTTGTGGGGTTTTTTTGTTTTTTGTTTTTTGTTTTGCTTTTTGAGTCACACCCAGCGATGCTTGGGGTTTCTCCTGGCTCTGCATTCAGGAATTACTCCTAGCAGTGCCTGGGGGACCATATGGGATACTGGGGATTGAACCCAGATCTGCTATGTGCAAGGCAAACGCCCTATCCGCTGCACTATCGCGCCAGCCCCAGTCCTTTTTCTTCTTTTAAGGGAATTAAAGGAATGCTAGAGGTTACTGACTAGGTTTCATCAGGAGACAAAAGTAACTAGGAACAGAAAAGATCCATGTGTCCAGTATTTTTAAAGTGTATGTATATGTATATAAATTTAATATACATGTCAATGATATCTGTAAATATATAAAGAACTAATGCTGTCATCCCCACAACAACCTTTTGGAGTAAATCTTTGGTTATCAACACTAAAAAAACAACACATTGTGGTGCAATATACAGAATGTCTAAGGTGTTAATCTACACACTCTTGGAAAATAGGATGATTATCTAGAACTTGAATTTGATGTTACATTGGAAGCAAATGAGTATAGTGTTTTTTCCACTCTTCCCAAAAAGGCAAGTGGTTTTTCTTTCCTATTGCTCTAGAATGTGTCAAATCCAAATTTACTAGCATAGAATTTTCCATTCTCATAACCTGGCCTTTTTTCCTCTCTTATTTCTGGATTCCTCATGTTCTTTGTCCTTGTTAAAACATGAGTTCATTGTCTCATTAAAAACCCTCTCCTTCAACCCCATGGCTCCTCCACCAAGCTGGGTTAAATTCCAAATCAAAATGAAGTCATGACCTTTTGGGGAAAGCATTTCCTCTTTCATCAGAAATCCAAACCAATGTGTTTTCGTATTATTTCTGTACTTTAAAACTTAAAACTCATTTATGGATTATCCTGCTTATATTTCAGTCACAGTTTTGGCCTTGTTTTTAGGTTTATAATATTTGTAATGTTTGGTGTGTTTTGTCGGCTTTTCTATAATTACAGGCTTCCTAAAGATTGCATGATTTGAGTCCAGGGATGTAGCTCAGTGGTGGTCTATTTACTTGCCTTCCAAAATTGAGGCCCTCCGTTTGATTTCTGGCACTGAATTGGGGGGGATGAAGGGAGAGTACATGATTCCTTAGAAACTGTTTAGCATAGAGCTTATTTTAAGTTACACATTAGCTGAATTAATGGTTGATATGTATTTGGTATAATAGATACAGGGATATCCTATCTAAATATTTGGGGGTTTTTTTTTTGGCTTTATTTTTGCAGCTTAGAATGTTTATATCTTGGAGGAAACTTCATCAAAGAAATCCCACCAGAATTGGCAAACCTACCTTCATTAAATTATTTGGTATTATGTGACAACAAAATCCAAAGTGTGCCACCTCAGCTTTCACAGTGAGTAGTTTTCTACAATTTGAACATAGAGACATCTGCTCTTGTTATTTTTTCACCTAAATACAGGTTTTTATGTAGGGCAAGAAATAGGTATTCTCAAAGCAAATGGCACATCAAAATTGCAATTCTGAGGCTTGCTGTGATTTGGTTACTTGAGAGTGGGAGCAGCTCCTGGGCAATACACAGGGAGACTGGGATCCTCCCTGTGGTACTTGGCTGGTGGGGCCAGATGATACCGTTAGGGCCTGTATCTGGGGCTGCCTGGGGCAGACAGGAAAGTGTGTGTGCCAGGTATAAACTCTGGACTTGCATATGCCTCAGCTATCTCTCAGAGTCCTGGCTTGCTTATTTTCAGCATTACTTTTTTTTTTCCCCCTTTTTTTCTTTGAGTCACACCCGGCAATGCTCAGGGGTTACTCCAGGCTCTGCTCGGGGGAATCATATGGTATGCTGGGAATCGAATCTGGTCGGCTGCATGCAAGGCAAATGCATTGCCTGCTGTGCTGTCACTCCAGGCCCTTCACCATTACTTTTAAATGTTCTGGTTTTTTCCTCAAAAATAGTTTAGCCTCTTTTCTAAATTAAAAATAGTTTGGTGTTGGAGAGATAGTATAGGAGATACAGCACTTGCCTCACATGCAGCTATAGTGATACCCTGGTTCAAATCCTTGGTACCACAAATAGTTTCTTGAGCACCATCAGGGTTCACTTCTCAGCACAGAGCCAAGAACGGTCCCTGAGCAAAATCCAAAAAATAAAAAGTTTTGATTTAACACAATTTCCCCCCCAGGATTTATGAGATGTGTGATTTCATAGTTGATATTGAGCATTCCTGTGATGAGAAATTTGGAGATAAATTAATTTCTATTGCATTCAGAAACTTTCCTTCTCTAGGTATCTGAATGATAAAGCATGTCAAAAAATTGAACAAGATCTATTTGTGTCAGATCATATACCAGAGTACTCTGAATTGCTGAGTTTTCAGATACATCTAGTTTTAGCACTTTTGTTTAAGTGTTGTTGGCCTTAATTGCTCATTCTTATGCGGAGATAGTTTCCTCACATAACTTTCTTGGCAGTTATTTTTACTGTTTCTGACTTTTATATTGCATTTGTTTATTCTAGGTTGCATTCCCTTCGTTCTCTCAGTCTGCACAATAACTTGCTGACATACCTGCCTCGAGAGATCCTCAACCTTATTCATTTGGAAGAATTGAGTTTGCGAGGAAATCCGTTGGTTGTTCGTTTTGTTAGAGATTTAACCTATGACCCTCCAACTCTCCTAGAATTAGCTGCACGGACCATTAAAATTAGAAATATTTCCTATACTCCCTATGATCTTCCGGGGAATCTTCTTAGATATTTGAGTTTAGCCAGCAATTGCCCAAACCCAAAATGTGGAGGTAAGTTTATTTCAGTTTGTTTCCTATTCATTTACTTATATTTTTTAATTGAAATATTTGTGTATTAATTAGCTGTCTTTTTTCAAATAAAGTTTCTGTTTAGGTACCTCATGTTTTCATCCTCTACTAGAAAGGAATTTTACCTACTAGTAAGTTCATTGACTCCTTGTTTCTCTCTCTTTCAATTTCCAATCTGAATATCAGCTACCTTTATAGATATTATTCAAAATGGTTAAAATGAGCCAGATCTGTCCCCAACTTCAGAATGCACACTAGAATTTTTTTTTAACTAGAAAGTTATGATTCAAAATTTCTTGTGTTTAGAACGTTTAGAGAGAATTAATAGAGGATAAAATAGAGTAAGAATTCAAAGTACTGCTGGAAATCAGAGGAGGGAAAGAGTGCATTTAACTAGATCTGGGAAAGGTAGAACAAATTTTAACTCGTGAGTTTTTTGTTCACACGTGGCAGTGCTCGGGCTATTCCAGCTTAGTTCTCAGTTGTGATCCCTGGTGGTACTTAAGCTGCCTGTGCCTGTGCAGTCTATGGCTGTGCCACTTTGAATAACTCCTGATCTCTGTGCAGGCTATGGATCAAACCTGGACAGGCTTCATGCAAGCAGATTCCTTAATCCCTGTACTGTCTCTTGGGTCCAAGAAACTTTAGAGAGAGTCATAATTGTAGGTGAAATAAACTTACAGTTTAGGGAAGTTATGAGAGAAAGTAGAAGATATATTGAGGCAGATCATGAAAGACCTAAAGAGCCATGGCGTGTGGGTGAGTTGTTAACGGACCATTTTTTTTAACTTCTTTCAAAAAGGCTACTTTTAAAAAACTTGATGTAATGGGAGTACAGAAAGGTTTTCATTATCGTAGGTAAAACAAATGCTGAGGAAATGTCACATAGGCGGTGGGAGCCATGTGATGGTCTCTCTGAATGTTCTGTTGTGTCTTGAGAGTATTATAAGTTCAACAAGGGAAAATGATGTTCTTCAAAGTCTATTGAAGGGAAAAAACAAAGATACCTTTTATTTTTAAGAAGACAATACTCTGCCCCAGTCTGTTCACCTTTAGGAATGTATGTGATGTCCAGGTTGAAATTGCTGGTGTGCTTTTCGTGATTCTCCTTTCCTGAGTTGGTTTTAACACTGGTCAGGGCATCATTACACCAGCCCTGTGGTCTATAGTGAATCAGTATTTCTGTAGAAATATTTCACCTTTTTCTTTTAAATGGTTCCTTTTTTTTTTTTTTTTTGAGAGGAGATATACTGAGTTGTGGCGGCAGTGCTTCTTCTGATGGTTTAGCAGGTAGGGAGATGCACGGATGAACCTGGGTTTCTATGTGCACGATATCCCTGGCCCACAAATGGTTTTCTTAGAGGTTTCTGTAATATAATGCTGTATTGTTTGTGTTAGTAACAAAAAGGTCTTATTAGTTTAAAACTAAATCATAATGCATTTGTTACAGGCATTCAGTATTAAAACACCCGTCGCAACAACGGTGTTATCTATCCTCCACCATTGTACCCATTTCCCTTTTTGCTTTATTTGGCTTGGGGACCACATCCAGTGATGCTCCTGGAACCAGGCAGTGCCGGAAATCTATCTGGGCTTCCTGCATGCAAATCATACATTCTAATCCTTTGAACTGCCTTCCCAACTTAGATTTCCCTTTTTAAATTATAAGTGTTTCATTAACGTTAGAGTTAAAAAAATGATGGGAAATTATTGGGGGGGAAAGATAAGAGATAGTTTTTTTTTTCTTTTTCTTGGGTTTGGGTTACATCTTTTTTTTTTCATCTTTTGTGTGGCATACATACAATAGTTTGTACCACCGGATACTTAGGTTGTAGGATTTGAGGTTCCTCTCCTTCAGATAGGTGATAGAATCCTGAAAACTAGATATTCCAGTTTTATGACAGCCTTCATGGGTTCGAGATGTGCAGCGTCTTTATAAGGAACAACTTAGAAGCCTGAGTCACTGTCACCTCTCAGCTCTAGCTGTGTTTCTGCTTAGCCAATGGACCATGGTTGACGAGGAATTAAAAAGTGCTGAATACTGGTTTTATCCTACCTAATAATTCATAGATCCATGAAACTCACTTAAGATCATTAGTGAAATAGCTTTTGAAACCTGTAGATTTGGAGCTACTGGAAATGGATAATTGTTTGTGTTTGTCTGTTTTCATTTTTGCTTGTTTCTTTTCATTTTGTCTTCCAAGTATACATGAGAACAAGTGTTACCAGAGGTTGTCTATTTTTTTTTTTTTACAGCAAATGATTCTGTAAGGTCCTTGTTAAGATAAGTTTTTATTGGGGCTGGAGAGACAGTACAGCGGGTATGGTGCTGATCTTGCATGCAGCTGAACTGATGATCAATCACCAGCATCCCAGGTGGTCTCCCAGGCCCACCAGGAGTGATTCCTGAGTGCAGAGCCAAGAGCAACCCAAGGCACCACCAGGTGTGGCCCAAAAACAAAAAAAATTAATTTTTCAATCAAAAAGAATTATAGTACTGTGAAGTGACTTTTGGAAGTAGAGTGAAGAGCATTTTGGCTACTGTTAATTGTACCCTTCATTGGGCTGGAGCGATAGCACAGCGGTAGGGCGTTTGCCTTGCACGCAGCCAACATGGCCGACCCGAGTTCGATTCCTCCGCCCCTCTCGGAGAGCCCGGCAAGCTACCGAGAGTATCTCGCCCGCAGGGCAGAGCCTGGCAACCTCCCCGTGACGTATTCGATATGCCAGACACAGTAACAACAAAGTCTCCAATGGAGACGTTACTGGGCCCGCTCGAGCAAATCGACGAACAACGGGAGGGCCTTTACCTTACCTTTACCTAAATTGTCACCAAGTAATTGGAAACAAACCAAGAAAGCAGTGTCCTTTAATGTCCTTTAAAATAAAGTCGCGTTGCTTTCACTTCCTGGCTGACCTACCATTCCCAACTGAACTACCATCTTCAGTGCCTTCTAGTATTTCTATAAACATCCATAGAAACAACTGCTTGTCCTACTTAATGTTCCTAAGAGCAAAGACTATCACATTTCTTCAGTCATTTGGAGAAAGGGCTGAAAAACAGTGTCTGCTTTTTAATGAGTGTTTGTCCTTTTTTCCAGGCGTGTACTTTGACTGCTGTGTCAGACAGATTAAGTTTGTGGACTTCTGTGGGAAGTATCGACTCCCACTAATGCACTACTTGTGTTCGCCAGAGTGTTCTTCCCCCTGTAGTTCTGCCTCTCACAGCTCTACATCCCAGAGCGAATCTGATTCGGAGGATGAAGCTAGTGTTGCAGCACACAGGATGCAGAAAGTTCTTCTTGGTTGAAAAGAGTGCAAGATTGTATGAAACTCTGGGGGTGGGTGAGGTGGGGCACATAAACAGTAGGAGGTTAGAAATAGGCTTTGACATTCCCAAGAAATTTTGTATTCATTTTGAATGTCTGTGAAAGAAATTAAGAGATGGTATAAAAGGTTTTGTATTTTTTCTATCCATTCAGCAGGCATGAATTCAGATCCATGTTTGGATTCTATGAATGTAATTCACTCTAGTCCGTTTGAAATTTGAAATTTGTTTGAAATTTGAAAGTTTCTTATTTCCATTCCAATTTCGCATGAAATGAGGCAGCAGAATGGAATGTTTTGAAGGGCAATGCTATAACAAACCCATGAGTGGTGTAACATGATAGTTGAGATGAAGAAAGAAATAGTCAAAACATATGTTATCATAATAATTATTGCTTGAGTTGTCCTTGCATTTAGGTTTAGGTTGAACTGTGTACCAGATTAGCCATTCTTTCTTTATTACCATTAATTTTACTTGTTTTTAAAACTTCTATTCTTCTCCTTTTATCTGTATGATTGTTGCCCTCACTGAATCCAGCAGACTGTTAACTATGCTTTCCTCCTAGCAAGGATTTAGAATTTATTCCTGAATCTACACAGAACATTAATGTGTTAACAGAACTGAGTAACAACTGTATGTGACATCTTAGCTCACAACAGTCTTAATTTTTTTTGGGGGGGGCGGGTGGGGGGCTACGGATGAAATAAGAAACCTGTTTTATGCTTGAGGCCCCAGTCTTGAACAGTTTGCTCATTAGAAGTTGTAATAGTCATTTATTGATAGGAACATCTCATATTTCTTTTGACAGAAAAGATTGTAAGTTAGAAAAACCTCTTTGTATCTTTGGGAAATTATTTTTAATGTTTTTTGACAATAGAATGTGACTCCTTTAGCTCTGTGTACTGAACTGTAATATATTTAAACAAAAAACTAGAAAAACATTGCAAGCTAAATTGGAAACAGTAAATAGTGTCTGGACATAGTAAAACAATTTCCAAAACTAGTTTAACACCGTAGAATACATATTGAAAAGTTTATTGATAGAAATTGTATTAGGGTGGGTGTGTTGTTGGCCCCTCCTGGCAGTGCTCAGTCAGGTGCTGCTCCTGGCTCTGTTCGGGAGTCATCCCTGACAGGAGTGAGGAGGAAGAGTGGAGGTGGGGAGGACACAACAGTATGCAGTGCCAGAGACTGAACCCAGGTCAGCAGCATTCAGTGTGGGCACCTTACTATCTCTAGCCCTGATGAAATGTTTTTTAGATGTTAAAATATTTCCTCATTTTGTTAACCATTTTTCTGCTGTATTTTTTCATTGCTATTGAATTTGGCCAAGCTTTATTAATTGGCTCTGCACTAAAAATGGAATAATAGTATAGCTCTTAAGTAGGCATATATTCATCATTCTGTAATTAGTGTTTATTGATGATTTGTTGGTAATGTTACTTAAACAGTAATCTAGATTTCAGAAAGGCATTGGAACCTCAGATATTCTCCCTTCGTCCTTGGTTTAGACTGGACACAGCATTTCTTTAATACAGGTAGTTGTAATCATTTGTATGTGTGTTAGGGTTTTTTCTTTAATGTATTCTTTTTTATTTTAGTAGAAAATATACTGTAGGATAGTTTGTGTTTTAAATGTTCATGAAACATGAGAGTTTCATGACTGCAGTCGTGGAACGCTGCTATGATGTAAATACCTTCACTTTTTATAATAGAGTGAGATTCCTCTTTCCTTTAGATTAAGAATATTTCTGTGTATATATGAGTAACCTAGTATGTTTTGTTGCCTTGCAGAGTATTAGATAGGTGAATATATCATAAAATGGAAGTAATAGAAAGTCTTTTTCATTTGAATCCCAGCAAGCTGCACACTGTAAAATTAGGAAAATTTTGTTAGATAACTTGGGCCGGATCTTAAATGCCAAAGTAATTTCTAAAGTAAGTGATGTTTTTGATTAAGATATGGAAAATATTTTTCATGGAAAGATAAGGAATATATTCATTGGCATAAATTTATTAGACCAGATTTTTCTGACTTAGATTCCTCAATATAATTCCTAATTGTTGACTTTACCTAAGTTACAATTTGGATAATTTTCTAGAAGTTATTAGTCTTCATGAAATAAATGAGTGGTAGGTGTGTAAATATACTTAGCCTTACTCAGAAAGCAGGTATATGACTGATCTTTTACATATGTAAATGGTTCCAAGTAGAAACCACTTTAGCTTTTGTTCTATAATGCAGATACCTTGGTGTAAAACTAAATGTCTTTCAACACATTGATAACGGTTCTCTGTATATACACTTAAAACTGGAGTCAGTATACAATTGTCTTTGAGCTGCATTTTAGCTCTTAGTATTACCTTTTTTAAAATCTTTGATCTAATCTTTTATAAGAGCTGCTATTTCTGAGAACTTTCTGGTTTCTTCCCCGCCCTCACCCTCTTCTAGTTAGTGATTGTAGAAATTAGCCAAATGGTAGGATGATCTAGGAAACTGAATCAGTTCCAGAATCATGTAGCTGGTGTGTGTGTTGGTGTGTTGGGGGAGGGGGGGTGGTTCATGGGTTTGTGTCCACACCCAGTGTTCTATATCTGGCTCTGCCCAGGAATGACCCCTGGCAGTGTTAGGGGACCTTATTCAGTACAGGTAATTCAAAACAGGAGTCAGCAGTGTGGAGGGCAAGTACCTTATCCCCCTGTACTATCTATCCCCTGATGTTGTGTTTAAAGTGATAGTCTTTATCTTTTTAATTGCTGTTACATATTTGTATTTGAACTACAATTAGTAAGTTTAGTATTGTTCTAATGACAAAACTTTTGTGGATAAAAAAACTACTCGACCAAAGTGTTATGTATTTATAATGGAATTCTTGAGAGGTGACATTTAAATTGAGGTAGTTACATTGACATTTTGGCTAATTTTTATTCCTAGAATCCAGTCTCAGTGTCACCAACCAGAGATGGTGAGGCAGTTCTAGTGTATTATGAAATAGGAAGTCCAGCTAATGCAATATTTTGTTTCTGTGGTGCCAGGGATTGGCTGGTCTAAGTATGGTAGTCAGGGTTGTTATATGAGTGGGGAGGTAGACCTGAGGATAATTATTATAATATTAGAAGGGAAATACATGATTTCAATGTGTACTGAATAAATCTCTTCTAAAATTAGTATTTAAAACTGTTACCAAATTTAAAGGTAAAGACTTCCATTATAAATTGTGCCTCAAGATTGAGAAATTTTGTGTTAATGTAAATAAAAGTCAGAAGCAGTCCACATTAGTGCAGTGTAATACTGTAGAATACAAATCATTATAAGATCAATTTTAAAAGAGGAACAAGGGCTGCTGATGTGTTAAATGAAATATTTAAAACAGGGCAAAATTGAGAAGTCACCAGACCCTCAGGGTTGTCCCTGAGCCCAGAAAGCCCTTTGAATTAATAGTTGTTTTAAAGTTAACTGGCCCACTTACTACCACCAGAATTTATTCAGTTTCCCCTATGGGGACATTGATGAGATCCTTCCATAATGAAGGGCCAATACCTCATTAACCTAGAATCAGTGGTTAATGTTTACCTTTCCAACACTAAGCAAATAGTTTGATTTCTTAAAGCATTTTAATGGTAGCTTTTCATCTAAGTTACTCTAAATATTATGTATGATTCTTTGTAAGCAACGTTATTAGGCACAATATTATATAAAATGCATTTTACTTTTTGAGATAGTTTAATAGTAATTTGATGCATGTAATAATTTTCTTTCATTATAATCATATTTGTTTATTTTTGAGTTTTAAGAATTTATCTGGCAGTACTCGGGCAATTCCTTCTTGTGTGCTCGTGGCTCACTTCTGGTGGTGCTTGAGGGACATACGCACTGCCAGGAATTGAACCAATGTCAGCTGTATGCAAGGAAAACGCCTTAGCCTGTGTACTATCCTCCAGCGTCCATGCTAAAATTTTTTTGCATTTGACAAGGGGAATTATTGGGGATCCTGAGGAACTCCTTCCTCCAGAACACCTGTGGTTGAGTGTAGGGCTTCTGGAGAGGGAGCCCCAATTATGTGTGCTGTCAGAGAAGGGCAAAGCCATAAGGATAAGAGTTCCTGAAATCATCAGCGAAAGGCATTTTTCCCCCCTTTTTTTGAAGCTATTTTATAAAGACATAGCTATTTCCACTAAGGAATGGCAAGTTCTTTAGCAGCTTTACATTAATAGCATCATAAGAGATATTGCTGTAAGTCATAGTTTTACACTTACTTTTTTTGTTTTAATTTTTTTCATGTATCTAGTATTTCTCTATCGCCACTAATACTTGCTAAGAATTAATGTAGAAAATAACAGTTCACTAACAGGGTAATACTAAGTTGGGTGCTACTAGACTTTTATCTAACATTGATCAGTCTTGGTTTCTCATAAGGAACAGTATTCAATCTAGTAAATAGTAAAGTCATTTAGTTTAATGAAGGTTATTTATGTACCATTGGGCCAGAAAGCCTTGGCCTCTGTTCACCAGAAATTACTTTTTTGGCTGAGAATAAGTTTAATAGAATGTTCTATTCTAAATTCTAGTTAAAATAGGAAACGTTGATGATTGACATTGTTATGGTTGGTAATAAATTCGTTCAATTGGCTACTTTGATATTTTATGGAATCCTTGCACTATGTCAAATGATTGACATAATGATAATGTTATTGAGAGAGTATATTGACACTCAATCACTTTATAGCAATTACAGATTGCTATTGACACAAATCTGTGTGCCTGTTTCTGAGATGTGTTGCATGTCCAAGACCACTTTGTATTCTTGTAACAAAAGTGGGAGGAATATTGTAAATAGCCAGTATTTTAACTTTGGGACTTATAAAACTTGAGACGTTAGATAACAAAAAAATATTGAAAATGTGCTTCTACTTTGGTTAAATTACGTTTTATTACCTAATTTCTTAACTTTTTTAATTTGAAATTTTTGAATTAGGAATACCTATAAATATATATATATAGTTAATACTAATAATTGTAACCATAGTTAAACTTTGATTCAATAATTAAACTTATAGCATCAAATGTACATACTGTACTGGTAAATGCAGTTTTTAAAAAAATCTATCACTGGTTCCTGTACTCGAGACATACATAAAAAGCAAAATGTGCTGTTACATTAATTAATCTTTGAATTTTGCCTTATCAGACATTGTGCCTTTTTTTATTCAGTATTTTATTGATACCTTATTTGGTATTCCAGGAAAGTAGCAGTATTTTGTCTTAAAGGTTTACCAAAAAAACTATCTGAAATCTGTTTAATATTGGTATTTGCTTGATTACTTACTATATTTTTGCTGTTTGTTCATTGTATATTTCAGTGCAGGAGTACACATTTTATTCATGTATTAGCTTTTCTACTCTTCTGAGGACAAGAGATTAAAGAGGAGTTAGAGGGACCAGAGCAATAGCTCAGCTTGCCTTGTACGTGGCTGATCTAGGTTCAATCCCCAGCAACCCCTGTGGTCCCCAAGCCCTTCCAGGGTTAGTGCAGAGCCAAGGGTAAATCCTGAGCACTGCCAGGTGTGGGCCAAAAACAAAGAAGATGAGTTAGATTAGGGTTCCTCTTTTTTCGTAGTCTAAACAGACACATAATGGGCACTAATGAGATAAATTGTTGAGG